AACCTCTAACCCCTAACCCCTAATCCGAACCCTTATCCGAAGCCCTACCCCCATACGCTAACCCCGAACCCCAACTCTAACCGTAAACCCTAACCCTAACACCTAATACTAACCCTAATCCCTACCCTGACCCTAAGCCTGAACCCTAACCCCAAATCCTGACCCTAATCCCGACCGTAACCACTGCCCTAACCCCTACCCTAACCCAAACCCCTAACCCTAACCCCAACTCCTAATCCTCACCCTAACCCAAAACCTTTACCCTAACGCCTAATCCTAACCCTAACCCCTACCCTACCCTAACCTTGACCTCTACCCTAACCCCTACCCTAAACCCTAACCCCTGACCCTAACGCTAAATCCTAACCCCCAACGTTAACCCGAACCCTAACTCTAACCCTAACCCGTGACCTTGCCCCGAACCCCAACCCTAAACCATGACCCCAAACCCGAAACCCTAACCCTCACCACCCCCCTTTGCGCAAAGGGGGGGAGGGGGGGTGGGGGGTCCGACCGAAATCCCCCCCCCCCTTTAAAGGGTAGGGGGTCCGAAAATTTCCCCCCCCCCCCCCCCCTTTGAGGGGGGGGGGGGACGGAGGAGGGGTTCTGCGAGCACACCCCTCCCCTTTACAATCACCGGGGGATCCACTGGCGCGCTTCCCATGCTGCCCTTGACGGAGATACGAAGGCGACGAGGGTCTGGGGCATGGGCAGTGCAGGAAAAGCTGGGGAGAAAGGGAGGAGAAGGAGGCGAAAGAGCAGGCGCAGGGGGGGGAAACAGAAAGAAACAGAGAAAAAAAAGAAAAAGAAAAAAAAAGAAAAAACAAAAGAAGAAAGAAGATAAGAAAAAAAACGGAAGAAAAAAAAAAAGATGAGAAAAGTAAGCGCGCATACAGAAGCAAGAGGGGGGAGGATGCGCCGGAGGGGCTGGTGAGAGGGGAAGGGAAGGGAAAGAAGGAAGACGAGTTCAGTGATGGTTCTTGGGCACTTTAGCCCAATTCGTGAGCCAAGCTCCCTGTCATCACCACCCTGTAGAGCACTGTGGCCGCAAGCGTCCACCATGGTTGACACCCCAGACCAGGGCAATGATTGGGCAAAGCGAAAGCGTGCGCTGGGGGGGGGCTTTGCAGTACAGTCGACCCGTATCACAAGGATGCGCGATAAGGATGCAAGAGCCTTGGACGTCCATTTCGAAGCTTTTCGTGCGGGGCGCGGCCAACGAAAATGGCCACGGATGGACCGAGGAGGCAAGGATGCGAGGGTACCCTTGGAAAGGTTGCCCATCCTTACTGGGCGGGTTGACTGTAACGCCGCTAGCCTCGTCCAGCTGCCATTCCCCCCCTAGAGCGAGAAGGCAGAACGAGGGATCGCTCGCGGCGGGCGGCGCGGCAATCGCAACCGCCGACCGCGCAAGGCCCCGCACGCACAGACTCCCGGCGGCGCCCGGAGGTTATGTTGCATCCTCGGGGGACCTTGTCTGTCCCGTCGCGGCCCTGCCCGCGTCGAATCCGTGTCGAATCCATGTCGGACGCGTCGGATCCGTGTCGAATCCGTGTCGAATCCGCGTCGAAGCCACGCCAAATCCGCGTCGAGTCCGCATCGAGCACGCGTCGGGCCCTCAAAAAGACACCAATTTTGGGGGACAGGCGAGGTCCCCCGAAGATGCAACAGAAGCGCCTGGAGGGGCCCAGCCGAAACCGCTAAAGCCGACGAGGCCGAGCTCAAAATCCAACGGGCCACGCCCGAGCCGCCTCGCGCTCTCGCGGCCCCTGTCGGTGTGGGCTCGGCGGGGCACGTCGCGCTGCACACCCGCGGCCCCTTGCCGCCGCTCGGACGTCCATTTCCCGTGCCATTTTCGGCTTCGTGCGTGCTCTTTTTTGCTCGATGGTCCAGGATGGTCCTCGCCGAAAAAATTCACACGTCCGAGCGATGCCAAGGCCCAGGTCCATTTCCCGTGCAATTTTCGGCCTCGCGCGTGCCTATCTTTGCTCGATGGTCCAGGATGGTCCTCGATGGTCCTCGCCGAGGAAAAAACATGCATGCACACGTCCGAGCGATGCCAAGGCCCAGCTGGCGGCCGGCGGCGGCGGCGAAGAAACCGCACCTGGCGCAGCACCGCGCGGCCCAGCCGCTCCCGGCGGGCGAGCGCGCGGGGCGCCGCGCGCCGCCTCGCTGCCCAGCTGCACGGGCGCCCAGGCTGGCACGGGCGGCCAGCGTGCGTGCTCGCGCTGGGGGGACCAACCGATACCAAGAGCGCGTTCCTTCGTGCTCGGCGATGACGGGCGCCGTGGGGGAGGGGGGGGGGGCGAGGGGGGGGGTATGACGTAACGGCCCCCCCCCCAGTCCCCCCCCGTGCGTGCTCCGTGCACCGCGCCGCGCCCGCGCAGGGGGGACGGGGGGGGGGAAATCGCGCCGGGGGGGGGGGGGGGGGGGGGCGAGCGACGACGACGACGACGACGACGACGACGACGACGAAGCGATATTGAATATCGCTCGGGCGGGTGGCATTGGCCACTTTAGGGTCCTTTCTTTCACCACTCATCTGGGCCACCCCTCAACTACCATCCGCCCCCCAACCGCCACTCCCCCCACCTGTCCCGGGGTGCGTTCAGACCGAGAGTCCGAAGGGAATCCACCCGTGGCGACGAGGGCCATAGGCGGACGACGCTGTGTCTGCACACATGCCCAAGGCCAATCCCCACGAGGGGCCAGAGCGGGGGCCCAGGGCAGGGCTCCTGCCTCCATGGGGGCCGAGCTTATCCACACGCTGCCCCCTTGGCGTCAAGAGGTTGGAGGTAGCAGTAGAGGAGGAGGCAGAGGAGGAGGAGGAGGAGGAGGAGGAGGAGGAGGAGGAGGATGGGGAGGGGGAAGGAGGACAAGCTAGGTGCGCTCGCGTCATATCGGGCGTCCTGCCCCTCCATCCCATCCCTCTAGATGGCGTAGGTATCCTTTCTATTCGCACAGTCGGATGTCGAGCAGGGCACTGATCGCGAGAGGGTGCGCGATGCATCGCAGATCATTGCATGGCATGGCGTGGGGAGAGCACGGCAGAGCGTAGCATGCCATAGCACGGCATGGCAGTGCTAAGTGAAGCATTGCATCACGAAGCATTGCAACGCAAAGCATGGCATCGGACAGCGGCGCAGAACACAGCACAGAACAGCATGTCATGGCTTGACGCCAATCTTTGGAGGGTAAGTGGATCGTCTTCGAGAGGTCTGGGCTGGTCTGGAGTCGTGCCTCCATGTCTAGCTCCTCGGGCTCCCCGAAAAGCTCTACACAACGCGGGGCTGACGGAGAGCACCCGATGGCTCTGCTTCCAACATCGCCTTCTCAAAGCAAACACGGGGCTCCCGCTTGATACTTCCTGAAAACGACGACGCCCAAAAGTGTGGCCCAAAAAATCAACGAATCGACGCCGAATGTGTAATAACTTCTGATGGTTTTTCGGGGGGGCATTCTCTAGATTTTTGGGCCTATTTGGAAGGAAGGTCAGCGCTGCGGCGGGAGCACGATGCGGAACGAGCGGAAGCGCGGAAATGAGGCCAACGCTGCAGCGGGAGCACGAGTCGGAACGAGCGGAAACCCGAAAACGAGGCCAGCGCTTCAGCGGGAACAACATTTTGAAAACAAAAACCAAGCGGAAACCCAATTCCCGGGGATCCTGCGGAAAAGCAATACGCGGAGGGGGGCCGGATATTTTCCGGACGTCACCAGGGGAGAGAGGAGAGTACTATTCATAGTGTGTAATTGTAGACGACGAGGAGGAGGAAGATGAGGAGGAGGAGGAGGAAATGGAGGAAGATGAGGAGGAACTGGAGGAGGAGGAAGAGGAGGAGGAGGGGAGGAAGAGACGGAGGAGGAGGCAGAGGAGGAGGAGGGCGAGGAGGAGGAGGAGGAGGAGTATAGGGGAAGGGGAAGAGGAAGAGGAGGATGAGGAGGGGTAGGACGATCGGAAGAGGGGGATGAGGAGGAAGAGGAGGACCAATGTAAACTCAAGACGCATCAACAAAATGTTGCAATAACCCTCCCTCCAGGTTCCCTCTCCATTAATCCCATACAAGCATTTATGTCCACTGCGGGCAGTGCCCCTTTTGAACACGGCCATCTGAGAATCCTCAATCATCCAGACGACCATTCCTGGGACTCCAGCGCCGCGAATCAACATGAATTAACGTGACTGCTGATCCTGACAATCCTAAATCGCGCCAGGACGCCATTCCTGGGGCTTCAGCACAACGAATCAACGTGGCTGTTGTGTCCTGACAATCCCAGACCGTGCCAGAACACCATTCCTGGAACTTCAACCATGCGAATCCTTGACACTGTTACGAACTTTGGAGACGAATGTGCGCAGCGCAAAGCGAGAGCCGCATTTTGACAAGTCAGCGCCCTCCATCCTAGAAGCTGCAGCCAACGTTCAAGACGAATGCGCGCGGCGCTGGAGCGAGAGTCACAGTTTGAAAAAGAACAACCTCACATCTTTGAAACTGCTGCAAATGTTTAACACGAATGCACGCGGCGCTGATATGATCTACACATTTTGAAAGCCATCCGCCCTCCATCCGTGAGACGGCTGCAACATCCAAACTTCGAAATCATGAATGGTGCGGGAATCTCATGCGAACCGCCTGGCCCGCCCTACCGACACGTCTGGGGGTGCGGTAGGGGAGATAGTTACCAGGAAGATGGATGCAAGGGGAGGAGGAGGAGGATAAGGAGGGGGAGGGAGAGGAGGAGGAGGAGGAGGAGGAGGAGGAGAGAGGAAGAGGAGGAGGGCAAGGAAGAGGAGCAGGAGGCAGGAGGGGAGGAGGAGGATGGAGGAGGAGGAAAGGAGGGGGAGGAGGAATGGGGGAGCAGAAGGAGGAGGCAGCAGCAGCAGCAGGGGCATGGAGGAAGCTCCGATCGCCGCAGGCAATCAAACTCTGACTGCACCACGGCAGCGAGGACGGGACGGGGCGAGACCGCCGCAGCGCGGCCGCGCCGGCGGGCAGGCGCGCCTATCACGCAGTCGTCACCTCGGGGGCCCACGGCGTCGCAGACCCAGCGGCGCGGCGCGGGTGCGATCGAGGCCAAGCTGCCCAGGCCACCTGACTTCGCGCATCGCGCCCCGCGATGCGTGACGCGCGGCCACGTTCGCGCTCTCGCTCCGCCGCCCCGCAGGGGGGCGACCTGGAGGGCCAGGCATCGAAGCCAGTCTTTTGTCTTCGTGCCCAAGTGGGTGACCTGGAGGACCAGGAATCGAGATCGGGACCAGGCATCGAAGCCATGCATCGGGGAGGAGATCAAAGGAGGAGGAGGAGGAGAAGGAGGAGGAGGAGGACGATGAGGGAGGAGGGAGGAGGGAGGGCGGAGGAGGAGGGAGGAGAAGGAGGGAGAGGGAGGAGGAGGAAGAGGAGGTGAAGAGGAGGGAGGAGGAGGAGGAGGAGGAGATCAAAGGGACCCACGAGCTACTGAAGAACGAGGCCAGGCATCGAGGCACGGGAGCGGGGAGGGGATCGTGAGCACGAGCCTCCTCGCCGAAGCCAAGGACCCAAGGAGATACACGAAGAGCACTCCAGGGTGGAGAGCTCAAACACGAAGAGCACCTCCTCCTCCTCCTCCTCTCTCCTCCTCCTCCTCCTCCTCCTCCTCCTCCTATCGCAAGCTTTTCCCGTCGCGGCGCGGCAGAGGCAATCCGCTCGCGCTGGAGCTGCTCGGCGCAGCAATCGGACGAAGATGATCAGGAGCGCGATGTTGCACGTGTGTGCATGTTGGAAATCGGTCTGCCACCAGAGCTGGAACCAAAAAAACGACTCGTGCTCCTGCTCCTCGTCCTCTTCCTCGTCCTCGTCCTCTTCCTCCTCGTCCTCTTCCTTCTCCTCCTCCTCGTGCTCCTGCTCCTCGTCCTCTTCCCTTTCCTCCTCAACCAGGGCACGGCGCCGCGGCTCCGCCCGCAATGCCAGGAGGCCGCGGGACCGAGGCGAGGGGGCGCGGCCGCGGAGGGGGCGCGCGGAGAGCCAGGCCACACTAGGCACGGGACGGCGCCCCCCCTCCCAAACTGACCATCGCTCGGACGTCCATTCCCTGTGCTTTTTTCGGTTTCGTACGTGGGTTGTTGCGCGTGCAAGGAAGCCGCGGAACGAGGCGAGGGGGGGCGGCCGCGGAGGGGGCGAGCGGAGAGCCAGGCCACGAGGCACAGCACGGCGCCCCTCCCAGACGGGGGCTGCTCTTCACCCCCACGCCGGCTGCACTCAGAGACGGGGCACTCCTGGGCATCGCTCGGACGTCCATTCCCTGTGTCTTGTTCGGTGTCGTGCGTGGCTTCTTCGCCAAATGATCAAGGATGTGCTCCTCGAGGGTCCTCGCCGAGGGAAAAGTGCACACATCCGAGCGATGCCAAGCTCCCAAACGGGGGCTGTTCTTCACCCTCACGCCGGCTGCACTCAGAGACTGGGCGCTCAGGAGCAGGGGCCGACCGTCCCGGCCTTCCTGTAGTCCTACCGCGAAATGTTCTCAGGACCCAAAAACGTTCGAAGAACAAAAACGAGGTTATTAGAACGTAAACCCCATGTGCTAAAACAAGACAATCCCAGCCAGAACTGTTCTAAGAACATTTCGTGGAAACCACAACAGGTTCTTAGCACATCGCTTGGTAGGGCTATAGCCACGCCGGGACACTTCGCCACTGCTTGGCACTCAGGTTTGGACGCCCGAAATGGGTACGGAAAAAGTGGGTACAATGCCCAACAACAAATGTTGTCCCAAACCCAAACCAACAGCGGCTGCTGTTGGGCAGGCGGCCTTCTGTCTCGAAGGACACAGGCCGCGGCGGCGTGGACAGCGAATCCTGTTCAAAATGGACAGGAACTGCTGTTGGGCATTGTACCCATTCTTCCCGTACCCATTTCGGGCGTCCAGACTCAGGAGCAGGAGGGAAGGAAGTCCGAGGGCCGAAGTTTTGGGACGTCTCCGGCCACGGCTCAGCTCCCAGGGGCCTCCGTCGGCCCCCCCGGTGACCTCCCGCCCACCGGCGACCCGAGGGAATCGCGCCAGATGTGTGTACGCCGTCTTCGGCGCCTGAGCAATTTGCAGGCCCCAGGGGCTGTCAGAACATGACCCCCACGAAAAGCTAGCCGTCCTAAGGAATGGGCCGATGATGGTGGTGGTGAGGGTGGTGAGGGTGGTGAGGGCGGTGAGGGTGGTGAGGGTGGTGAGGGTGGTGATGGTGATGGTGATGGTGATGGTGATGGTGATGGTGATGGTGGTGGTGGTGGTGGTGATGATGATGATGATGATGATGATGATGATGATGATGATGATGATGATGATGGTGATGGTGATGATGATGATGATGATGATGAATGATGATGATGATGATGTGTGAGATGATGATGATGATGTACGATGACGATGACGATGACGATGACGATGACGATGATGATGATGATGACGATGATGATGATGATGATGATGATGATGATGATGATGATGATGATGATGATGATGATGATGATGGTGCTGGTGGTGATGGTGATGGTGATTATGATGCTGCTGCTGATGATGATGAAGGTCGTGGAGGTGATGATGATGGTGGTGATGATGATGGTAACGAGGAGGAGGGGGAGGAAGAGGAGGAGGAGGAGGATGCTGATGTTGCGAATGATGCTGGTGATGCTTCTGGCAATGCTAACGGATTATGAATAATGATCATGAATCGTGAGAATCATAATGGTAATGATAATGAGACTGGTAATGTTAACGGTAATGGTGATGCAAATGTGATGATGCTGATGATAATGCTGATGATGATGATAACGAAGTCGGTGAAAACGATGATAACGATGCTGATACTGGTAATGATAAGAATAAGCATAATTATGATAATGGTGATGATGGTAATGATAAGGATAATGATACTGATGCTGCTGATGATGATACGCCCACCCCAGAGGCGTGTGAGGTAAAGGGGCGGGACTCCCCACCACGCCCCCACCACGTCTGACCCCAGCCACCTCGACCTCCTGGGCGTCCCAGCCACCTCGACCTCCTGTGCGTGGTGTTTTAGGGCACCCGCACCCTGCAAAAACTCGCGCCGGCATCCCACACCGCGTCTGACATCCCCAACCACCTCGACCTCCTGGGCGTTGTGTGTTTAGGGCCTCCCCACCCTGCAAAAACTCGCGCCGGCACCCCCCAATCGCGTTTGACATCCCCAGCCACCTCGACTTCCTGGGCGTGGTGTTTTAGGGCCTCCCCACCCTGCAAAAACTCCCGCCGGCACCTCCCCCCACGGCGTCTCACACCGACAGCCCCCTGCACAATAACGGACGCCACCGACGAAAACGACAAAATGTCTCCCAGTGGAGCTCCCCCTCCCACTCTGACGCTCGACCACCTCCCCCCTCCACCTCCTACTCCTCCACCGCCTCCTCCTCCTCCTCCTCGCCCTCCTCCTCCTCCTCCTCCTCCTCCATCCTCCTCCTCCTCCTCCTCCCCCTCCTCCTCCTCCCTCCTCCTCCCCTCCTCCCCTCTCCTCCTCCTCCTCCTCCTCCTCCTCCGCTCCCTCCTCCTCCTCCTCCTCTTCCTCCTTCTCCTGCTCCTGCTCCTGCTCCTGCTCCTGGCTCCCTGCTCCTGCTCCTGCTCCTCCTCCCTCCTCCTCCTCCCCTCCTCCTCCTCCTCCTCCTCGCCCCTCCTCTTCCTCCTCCTCCTCCTGCTCCTCCTCTGCTCCTCCTCCTCCTCCTCCTCTTCCTCCTCACCCTTCCGCTCCTCCTCTCCTCCTCCTCCTCCGATGGCGTGACTTAACCTGCACTGGTGTTAGAGTTTTCTCAAAACCTTCCCCGAAACACACAACCCCGACGATCTCCCAGGTGACAAAAGACCAGGACCACGTGAGGTGAGGACCTAAGTGCATGAACCTGGAGTTGCAAGGAGATCTCAAGGGAAACGAACAATCCACGGCAGCTGCAAACCTAGAACAGCGAGGAACGGGATCAGATACCGTGAGGCAAGAGCATCGACTAACCCAGAATAACGAGGATTGATCGGGCGGAGATGGCTGGACGACCTCAGGCCAGGTTATATCCGAGCCCATAGCTGTGACAAAGTGTGAAGCGAAACTGGATGGACCAGCTCAGATCAGGGCATCCATGGGCCCTGAGTTGCGAGAGTGTGCGAGGAGAAGCTGGAGGGACCTCTCGCGTGCCTCGAAGCCTACAACCGCGAGAATGTCTCAAGCCAAAAGGGCTGGACCGCCTCAGGACAGCGGCGAGTATGTCGAAGCGAAATGGACTGGACTATCCCTCGCGCGGCATCTCGAAGCCCACAATTGCAGGGATGTCCCAGGCGAGACCGACCGGACCGCCTGACAAGCGGCACCTCAAGGCCCAAAAATAACGATGCTGGCTTTGCCGCCACCGGCCCGGACAACTTCTCGCATAGGGTCTCCTAGCACATAATCCCCCCCCGCCTTCTGGGCAGGAGATGGTCCATCGCGATTCCTTGTCCAACATCATTTTTCCCCCTCGGGGATAGGGGTCATCGCTGCTCCTGGAAAGTTTTGCCACCTCGCCCAATCTACCAATCGCTAACCCAAGTCACTGCCACTCCCCACGATCCCAACAAAAAACAACTCAAACTGCTCCCAGGCGGCTTCCCCATTGGAGCTCGGAAATGCGATGCGTATCGTCAGAACCATGATCATCGAATTATCATGGCTCTGTAGATCCGCCACCGTGCTTCTGGGCACGGAGTGGGCGTGCCCTCAGGTTTTGACCATCATCCTCTCAACCTCAGTCCTTACTCCTGAGGAGTCGTTCAGAATCCCAAACCCCACATGGCGAAATCTTCTCCTGGGGCTTCTCGCGGTCTCTCGCGTGACTGTTTCGATGGAAACCCCCAAACAGGCCAACAGGGCCCCAAAAGCGCCCAAGACGGCCCCAAACGCCCCGACCGCCCAAAGATCGCCCCGAGACGCCCTACGTGGCCTCAAGATGGCCTAAGAGGCCCCAAAGATGTCCCGAGAGGCCTCGAATATGCCTCCCAATAAGACCTGAAGAGGCACAACACCTTGATTTGCCTTCGTTGTTTGAAAGATTCTGGCGTTCCCGAGATCCCGAATACCACCCCAGCACTGCCCAAGAGGCCGCCCAGAGAACCCCAAGGCGGCCCTCGAGCGCCCCAAGACGGCCCAGGAGGCGCCCGAGACGGCCCAAGAGGGCCCCATGACGGCCCCAAAAGTGGCCCAAGAGAAGGAACACGAACCAACAATCGTAGCGTTCCACGCCAAGAGGCCCACATGAGGCCCCAAGAGGCACCCAAGAGGCCCCAAGAGGCTCCAAGAAGCCCCCAAGAGACCCAACAGCGACCCCACGAGGCTCCCAAACTGCCCCCCAGAAGCCTCAAACTGCACCCAAGAGGCCCCCTAAAGGTCCCCAAGAAATCCCAACGACCATCGAATAGGCTTCATTCCCACAACCCAGACACAGCGGCGGGATGGGCCGAGGGCCATTCGATAGAGAGGAGTCCGAAGTGCAACACGGAATCAAGAGTCTCACCTAAGCCCTTCCTGCCGTGCTCAGAAAAGCACCCCGACAACAAACGTATCAAACATTCGTCGTTCAATTGGGGTCGGCGGCAGAGGCGGCAGCCTAGACAAGGATGGTGATGTTGATGATGATGATGATGATGATGATGATGATGATGATGATGATGATGATGATGATGATGATGATGATTATGAGGAGGAGGAGGAGGACGGTGATGATGATGATGATGATGGTGGTGGTGGTGATGATGATGCTGATGCTGATGATGATGATGATGATGATGATGATGATGATGATGATGATGATGACGATGATGATGATGCTGATGATGATGATGATGACGATGATGATGATGATGATGATGATGATGATGATGACGATGGTGATGATGATGCTGATGCTGATGATGATGATGCTGATGCTGATGATGATGATGATGATGATGATGATTTCAATCCCGGCGCTGAAGGCTCGAAGCTCTGGGGGGCCAGCGGCTCAAAAACATCAAGTCGTCGGAAGTCTGGAGTCGCGGCTGGGCCTCCCTCCTTCGATCGCTTCCACCACCACCCTGAGTTCACATCCCCCCTCCGCCTCCTTCCCCTCCTGCTTCTGCTTCTCTCCCTCCTCCTCCTCCTCCTCCTCCTCCTCCTCCTCCTCCTCGATCTTTCTCCAGCCCTCCACCCTGCCTCCCCCTCCCCCTTGCCCCATCTCCCGAGCCCCCCAGTCCCTGTTCCATGCAAAATCCACCACCGTCCGCCTGCCCCTCCCGAGCAGTCCCAGGACCCCTCCCAGACACCACAGCGGCCAGCCGTTCGAGCTGCGCCCAGCCGTGGCACCGAAGGGAATCTCCCGGGGGCCCACAACGGGCAAACAGAAGTGTGCAGGCAGCTTCCGTCCTCACTCCTCGATAGCAGAGGCCTCCCAAACGAGGTCCGATGAGATGGGGTCGGAGGATCATGCCGCATCGCCGATACATCTCCGATGCATCGGCGATGCATCGGCAACGTCGGCGGTCCATCGGCGACGTCGGCGGAGAAGATCGGGCTCCACACCGAGCGGCATCGCCGCGATGCGGCGTGAGCCTCCGACCCCACCTGCTCGCACCCCGTCCGCTAGGCCCACAGACGGCCTCACTCCCGCAGCGCGCGGAGCGCGACGGGCTGCGCGCTCCCGCGAGGCCACCCCGATCGAGTGAGGATCGAGGACCGAGCGAAGATCCCAGTCCTCATCCTTTGTGATGGCAACTCGTGGGAGCCGCCATACCATCTTGTCGGCCCCTGCGAATCGACGCTTGTCGACGCTAATCGACGCTAAATCGATGCTCCATCGACGCTGAATCGGCGCTGCCTCATCGACTCCCAGACGCTAATCGACGCCAGTCGACGCCAAAGAGGGAATCTGGAGGGTCGACTGGGCTCTCACGATCTGCTACTGAACTCCTCGATACGAGGATCGAGGATCGAAGATCGGTGGGAGCATCGAGGAGTCCTTCCCACGAGAAAACAGAACGCCCAACAAAACGTGCGGCACGCGCCTGTGCCAGAACAGAACGACCAACAAAACGGCAGCCCGGTGGCCAAAACGCATGGGCGCGACGGCCGGCGTTCAGAGCATGTGAAAACGTGCTTTGAAACGCATTCACAACGAAAAACACAAGTTAAACGGGAACAGATGGGAAAAAGTAGGAAAACGCCGTTTAGTTCGAGCCCTGTCGAGGAACCCCCCTGGGGCCGGGCGCGCGCCCGAGGCCGTCGCCATCCACCGCCACCCCGATGGGGTCGTGGAAGCTCGCGCCGGAGCCGAGGCCGTCGGCGAAGCCCGCCCACTCGCTGCCCGCCACGGTGGACACCTCTCGGCCGGGCGGTGCCGCCGACGTTACGACGCAGCTCCGGGCAGGAGCCCTCCTCCTCCGCCCTCCTCCTCCTCCTCCTCCTCCTCCTCCTCCTCCTCCTCCTCCTCCTCCTCCTCCCCGCTCCTCCTCCCTCCTCCCCGCTCCTCCTCCCTCCTCCTCCTTCTCCTCCTCCTCCTCCTCCTCCTCCTCCTCCCCCGAAGTTCGCGCGTCGCGCCCCGCGCTGCGCGGCGCATGGCCGGCTGCGCGCCCTCGCGCCGCCGCCCTAAGAGAGGGACAGCCCGGCGGCGGCCGGGCCGCGGCGCGCACAGCGCGCGGCCATGTCGCGAGGCACGGGACACGAGGGTGCCCTTGAGCTGGCAGGGTCGACCTACTGATCCGGGCAGCCTGTGCAGAGTGCGACCGGGCCGTCGGGACGGGCGGCAAAGATGCAGCGCCCTTGGGTGCCCGAATGGCTGCCGGAAGTGGGAGCCAATGGCCACTGCCCAAGGGTCAGGATGGGCCGAGAGGCAAGGATGCAAGGGTGCCACAGGTGTCGGACACAATTCAGCAACACCCATGCAGAACAGATGGTTTGAACCTCCCCCCCTCCCCCCAAATGCAATGTTGGCTTCGGATCTTCCGATTTGGGGCCTCCGAGCGGTCTTGCGAAAACCTGTCAACTTTGAATTGCGGGGGAGGGGGGAAAGTGTTGCTTAAGTGTTTCCCTCAACCGCATTGTTCAGCTCCTCATCCTCACGATACTGCAGGCCCGGTGAAGGGGCCATGAAGCTAAGAGAAGGCCGGCTTCGGCGGGGCATCAAACCTGGCTCGGCGGGGCTTTTTTGGGGGGGGGGGGATGCGAGCCCGTCGAAGAGGGAGCGGGTGCAGTTCGAAACGGCAAAGAACCTCCGCGACGGCTCGGCCAGGCAGGGGCGAGTGAGAAGAGAACAAGTTAGATGCTCATTCTGGGGACCTTCCTGGAGCCACTCGCTCCACTCGTGCGTCGAAGCTGCGTCGAACCTGAGTCGAACCTGAGTCGAACATGCGTCGAACCTGAGTCGAATATGAGTCGAACCTGAGTCGAACTTGAGTCGAACCTGAGTCGAACAGATCCATTGGGTGGCCCCCAGGAAGGTCCCCAAAACGAGCATCGAAAACAAAGGCCTGGCTTGGCGGGACCGTGCAGGATTGATTGGGCCAGCTTTCGACCACGGATGCACCAGCGCCGTTGCTGAAATGGACCTCCAAACACTTGCCGTCGCTCGGACGCCCACTTCCAATGTATCTTTCGATGTCGTGGGTGTTTTTTTTTTGCTCGATGGTCCGGGATGGTCCTCGATTCGGGAGCGGCCAAGAGGGGGGTGTCCAAGAGGGGGAGGGTGCAAATCATGACCAGCGGCATGTGCGCGGCCCAGCGGGGGGGGCCAGGGACGTAATGAAACAAGATGGTCCTCGATGGTTCTCGCCAAAAAATGCACACGTCCGAGCGATGCCTTTTGAGGGGCAACCCTGCCTGGACGTGGGGCGAACCGGACAGGCGACCACACAGTGGACACCCATGCCGAGAAGCACCCTGCCTGCATCCAGGGTGCCCTGGGTTTCTTGGGCTTCGATGGCGATGCTGTGGAGAGCGTGACCTTCCCACACGCCACAGATCAATGGACGTCCTGGGGTCTCAGGGTTGGGTTTCTCGTGGGAGGATTCCTGTACTGCATGTAAGCCCTACCCCCACCCCCCACGAGTTCTAAGGGGTGGGGGGAGTGGGGCGGTCACTTTGCTCGGGAGCTCCCGAACGAAGTGACCCCCCCTTACAAATCGTGGGGGGTGGGTGTAGGGATCACGGCCCAAGAGGGCCCCAAGACAGCCCAAGAGGGCCCCAAGACGGCCCAAGAGGGCGCCAAGACTGCATCCGAGCGATGCCAAGAGACGTTGCATCCTGACCGACAGATGTGGCGGCTCCCGAGCTGCGGTGCCGGCGCCCCACGGGCGGCGGCGGAGACGCCGCCGGGGGCCGCCGGCGCCGAGCAAGAGAGGCCGTGCGGAGCTCTGGCGGCCTCTGCTTGTGCGATGTGGCGTGCCTCGGTCCGCGGGGGGGGTCTTGAGTTAAGTCGGGCCTCTCCCTACAGGGGGATTTTCGACGAGACAGAAAACACACCCCAAGAATAATCAAAAAATAAACAAAAAATAGTCAGGGGACTACTTTGGGGGTATTTTTGGACCTTTTTGGAATATTTTGGGGGTAGTTTTTTTTATTTTTCGTCAAAAATCCCCCTGTAGGGGGACATGCCCGAAAGAAGACTTGAGGCGGGCGTAGAGGACGAGCGCGCAGCTCGGCATCGCTCGGACGTCCATTCCCCGTGCATTTTTCGGACTCGTGCGTGCAGATTTCGAACGGTGAGCAAGCATGCTCCTCGATGGTCCTCGCCAAGGAAAAAAAGCACCTGTCCGAGCGATCCCGAGGCAAGGAATGACCCCGCGCCGGCCCAAAGACTCGGAGGATGCCGACGAGGGCACGACGAAAACTCGGAGGATACGACGGCTCCTCGATCCTCTGCTCGTCCCCCTCGCGGGCTGGCATGTCTCTTGTCGGGAGGGGCTCACTCCAGGCGTAGTTAGCACAGACGGAGACCGAGCTTCCCGACGGGCCCCCAAAAGGCTCCCAAGAGGCCCCCAAACTACCCCCCAGAGGCCCCCGAGAGCGCTCCGGAGAGACCCCAAGAAGCATCCCTGAGGGCTCCGATCCATGTCAACATCGTCGTCGTCGTCGTCGTCATCGTCGTCGCTGTTCAGGGTCGGCGGCACCAACCGCAAGGCCTCTCCAATCCAGACGCAGGAAGCTCAGACGGAGACCGAACACTGGGGAAACCGAAAAGTACCGATACCGCTGCTCCCCAGACCTCCCTGGGTGCGCTACGACCAGGACTTCGTGGCGAATCCAGCGGCGGCGACGAGGGCCTCTCGGAAGGCCCAAAACAGGGGAAGACGAGGGAAGGGTAGCGGTATCGGTGCCTTGCCCTCCTCTGGAGCACCTCGTGTGGACTCACCCCGTATGGGACCTGGCAGCCGACGGCCGCCTCGCCCGGCCGAGCGGAGGTCGAGGGCCCCCGGTCCCCGCGGCGCCCGAGGGGCCCGCGGGGGGTCGCGGAGGCGTCGTGGCCTCGGTGGGCCTCGTTCGGGCGCGGCCTAACAGGACCCCTAGCAAACCATCCCCCTCCGTGGCGTCCTTCTCGCCTTTCGAGCTCCCCTCCGGCCGCATGCATACGCCTGGGGGGCGAGGCGGAAGGCACGTCACGGAAGGGCACGGCTTGCCAGGGGTCGGCCAGGCCGCCCTGACTCGTGGCTCCCCCCTTGATGGCCCGCCAGGGCGAGAAGCGCCCTTCCCCCCCCCCACCCGAAAAGCTGGGTCGCCGAACTCGGCGCCCTCGCGCCCCCGCGAGTCACGGGCTTTATATGTTGCATCCTCGGGGGACCTCGTCTGTCCCGTCGCGGCCCTGTCCTTGTCGAATCCGTGTCGAATCCATGTCGGACGCGTCGGATCCGTGTCGAATCCGTGTCGAATGCGCGTCGAATCCACGCCGAATCCGCGTCGAGTCCGCATCGAGCACGCGTCGGGCCCCCAAAAAGACACCCATTTTGGGGACAGGCGAGGTCCCCCGAAGATGCAACAGAAACGGGCTGTCTTCGCGCCCTCGGGACCTCGCGCTGCCGCCCTTGGGAGGAGGACGTCCGCGCCGGCCCAGGCCGCGACGCGCGCCGCGCGAGGCTCTTCGCACCCCAGGGGGGGACCTGGCAGGATGCCTCGCGTTGTGGATGCCACGACAATGGACAGCCTAACAGTCCGATCATCGAATTGGACATGTGTTTCAAATGTCGGAAGAATGTCCTGAGCATGTTTAGAACATGTTGTTTACATGTTCAAAACAGCTTTAGCACACGTCCTAGACATCTGGAAATCATTTGGCAACACGCTTCCTCTCCATTGATCGTCCTCCACAAGTCTCGGGGAACCCCGAGCAGGAGGTGGCCGTCTGCAGGCCGATGGTCGTGCGAGGCCCCCGCGCGGGCCCCCGGCTCTGTCGAGGCCCTGGAGGTCGTCTTCTTGCCATCGCTCGGACGTCCCTTTCCCGTGAATTGTTCGGTTTCGTGCGTGCTTTGTTTTTCCTCGATGGTCCAGGATGGTCCTCGATGGTTCTCGCCGAGAAAAAATGCACACGTCCGAGCGATGTCAAGTTTTTGGGGGGCAACCCTGCCTGGACGTGGGGCGAACCGGACAGGCGACCACACAGTGGACACCCATGCCGAGAAGCACCCTGCCTGCCTCCAGGGTGCCCTGGGTTTCTTGGGCTTCGATGGCGATGCTGTGGAGAGCGTGACCTTCCCACACGCCACAAATCAATGGACGTCCTGGGATCTCAGGGTTGGGTTTCTCGTGGGAGGATTCCTGTACTGCATGTAAGCCCTACCCCCACCCCCCACGAGTTCTAAGGGGTGGGGGGTGGGGCGGTCACTTTGCTCGGGAGCTCCCGAACGAAGTGACCCCCCCTTACAAATCGTGGGGGGTGGGTGTAGGGTTCACGGCCCAAGAGGGCCCCAAGACAGCCCAAGAGACACCCAAAACGGCCCAAGACGGCCCAAAAATGGGCCCAAAAGAGGAGCACGAATCGAACATCCGAGCCTTCCCCCCCCAAGAGGCCCCCAGGAGGCCCGAAGAGGCCCCCAAGAGGCCCGCAAGAGGCCACAAGAGGCCGCCAACAGGTCAAAAAGAGGCCCCAAGAGTCTCCCAAGCGGCCCACAAGAGGCGTCCAAACTGCCTCCAAGAGGCCCAAGAGAAGCCTTCCACGAGATCCCAGCGACCATCCTAGAGGCATCATACCCACAACCCAAGCACGGTGGCGGGATGGGCCGAAGGCCGTAGATCCGCCGCCCCCTGCTTGCAGGGGTGCACGGCGTGCTGGATGTTTCAGGTTTTGGTTTTGGTTCTTTTTCCAAAAGAACTCCCCAGTGGGCTCCGGCAGAACCCG